AATTTGGCTATTTTAGTTTAAACAAAATGATGGTGCTGTTTTCTGCCTCACTGGGAGAAATGAAATCTGGTATGTTTATTGTTCAGCATAGTGATATTCTCAAGTGATTATTAAACTATGGTCTGTATCATCCAAGGTCAAAGCTCAAAAGCAGCCCCTGACAAAAAAACTCTAGTGTTTTATAGGTCTACATTACAAACAGGCTTGAAAGAATTTCAACAAAAGCAACTAAAAAAATCTGGAAAAAACATCTTACTCATTTTTCACAAACCCCTATATGTTAGCAAGGTGTGACGCAAAGTAAGAGGAGAATTTAAATAATCCACAAAGAAGCACAAGTGAGAAAGTAATTTACCTCTATTAGAGCATAACAAAGTACTTAATTGAAGATAACGGATCACATCTCAAACCCAGGTCATTATTTCCAACCCAGCCCAAACTGGTAACCATCAGAATGCAGACTGCAGAAGTGGTCATTTTCTGGCCTACTTGAACATAACTGATTGTATATAATAACTGATTGAATGTAATGTATGAACTATGGAATTAACTGCATATGCATTTATCTTCTGTGTACCTTATACTCCCTCCTGCTGGAAAAACACCCTCCTGCACTGCTGCTGTACCCACACTATGGTGAAGATACTCAGGCAACAGTCTCACTAATATTTTGAGCCAATATAAGCCGAACTAGCGCCAAAAAAAGCAGCCTTCCAGCCGCACAGTCCCTCCCCTGCTCCCCCCGCCCCCTTTTTTTTTTTCTTTTGCTGGGTAAGTTTTACATGAGGAAAATTAATTCAGTTAATTCACCAGAAGAGATTTAGAAAATTCAAAATGATGGTAGCACAGAGAGAGAGAGATCATCATCATCCAGCAGAAGAGTGTAGGAGTGATTCTTTTGGCAACGGTTCATGCTTATGGTGGTATAAAATGTTTGGGAAACTACAGGCTCAACACAAGGTGTTTCTTTGTGTTGAGACTTGAGGAGTATCTGGGGAACAGGAATAAAGCTTATCTACATGCAGATCTAGCCATGAGCATGCCTCACTGATTTTAAATGCATGAATATCACTCTCATGCTGACTGTCCCATAGCCATCCCCTCAGATACAAAAACGGATGTAATTTTGCTGAAAAGAGAATAATCATTACTGTGTTTGCAGATATGTCCTAATTCATAACAGAGTCCTAGTTCAAAATAAAGCAAAGAGAAAATCTTCAGAAAATAGCCCTAAATCCCTACTAGTCCTACTTTGCAAGTGACATCCAACTTGAGGCAGCCTTTAGTAAAAGATGTAGCTTTCTCTTCGTTGGTGGTGTTGTTACAAACTTACTTCTTGAATATTTGAGGGTCCTAAAAATCTCTTTTATCTAGCTTACTTTCTGGCTGTAACCTGTTAAATGTTTGCTAACTCAAAAGATTCTACTGCACTATAATCAAAACAATAAAAGCCAGTACTACATGAAGTCATAGAAATAGACTAAAATTAGATGACGACTCTTGTAACTGGATGCAAACTGATGAGACTGCAATAGCTCAATAAAATGCAGAGCAAAATGTGCACCTCGGAGTGTTATGAGTTACTCTAATTGTCAAAGTAGAAATAATGTTTTTACGGCTTTATTTTACACTTGAAGCAGCTGCAGCAATTGAGCAGCAAAACAACTAACCAGGACATTTTACTGAGCTCTATTTTTCTGTTACTTCTCAGGATCCTAGTGACATACTAAGCAAAATTAATCCCCACGAGCACACAAAGACAAAGAAATCTTAAACCAAGGCGACAGGCAGGTAAGCAACTACCGCCAAGGATTTTCCTCCAGCATTATGATCTTGCACAGCTGGTAAACTCTTCTTTCTGTTAGAAAAGGTGTATTTGTCCTAACAAGTAAGCTCATAAACCCATTAAAGCTGGCCTTTTCTGTATAAATATTCCATAGGCATATGGAATAACCTTGCTATTCAAAGCAGAGGGATCTGAGGTCTCTCAACAGCCTTGCACTGATTAAAGTAACTGCAGTGAACCCCTTGCCTTAAAATGTTGACTGCACCTCCGCCCCTTCCGTTAAGCTGCCTACGGCTGCTGCATACCACCTAAACTGTGTAATGGGAACAAGAGCGTGTAGAGGAGCACTGCATTTAATCCCTACCGACCACAACATCACAAGGAACAACAAGCAGAGCTGGAGGAACTGGATGCTGAGCCAGCCAAGTCTGAAGGCAGAACACACGTAGCAAGTTCTGGAGGTGCATCTCTGGCCAGTAACGTAAGAATTTATGACAGCCAGTTACGCGCACATTTTACTGTGGTTTTAATGTCATCTCACAGGTGCTTCATTTTAACAGTTACCTATGTCCCAGCCCTGGGGCCAACCTGACATAATCTGCTTTAAATGCTTCAGTCTTGGAGTTTATTTAGAGAAGACTGACAATTTTCTTGTAAATGAGGAACACATTCAAGCCACTTTTAGTTAGTCTTCTTACCAGAGCTAGCGGATAGAGGTGCTATCTTCTGCTACCTCAAATATACCTACGACCTGCTTTCTAACTATCATGTTTCATCCAGGCTTACTAAAAATTGCAACAGTGCTGTGAGTGGACATTAGGCACGAGCTTAGATGAGAAACATAGTGGATCATTATTCCCCTGACAAGCAGACGCCAACTGTAGAATTCCAACTAAAACAATTACCACAAAAACCTACAAAACCAACATGAGCAGCCTGGTCTAGTGGAAGGTGTCCCTGCCCATGGCAGGGGGGTTGGAACTAGATGGTCTTTAAGGTCCCTTCCAACCCAAACCAGTCTGTGATTCTGTGAACATTAAAGTAATTACTATTGTCTATTGACTTACTAAATTTACTAGCAGATACTGAATACATCATCAGCTTCTAAATCGGTTGCAGTTAGAAATTAGCTGAATCCTGAAAAACATGCTCCCCTATAGACTGCAACTGTAATGTGCTCTCACCTCAAAGAGATAAAATACATTTACATTAAAAAACAAACAAACAAAAAACCCACACCCAACCCAAGGATAAATTGGAGAACGCTCCAGTTATTTGCTTTGAATGAAAGAACAAGGGTCAAAACCAAGCAGTGCTGGTTTAAAAAAAAAAAAAAAAAAAAAAGGCAATAAGAGCCTCATGGAAGGAAATTTTCATACATGCTCAGAGTAGCTATCAAAATCCCCAGTTAAAGCTATCACAGCGTTGTGTACTGTTCTACAAATTTAACTGCTCTTGAACAATTCCCAATCTTAATTTTATTTTCTTTAACTGACCCTCTGCGAAAGGGTCACAAGCACTCTGTATTGTTGGCTAATATGGAGCTTACACAGCCTATAAGGAACTTTTAATGATATTTCTGTTTCATATTGAAGCAAGAAATGAAATTCATGCACATATCGAGCAATTTTCATAGACTAGGATAAACATCAAATTCTTTCAACTGAGACATAAAACCACCAAGGAACTGACGATTCGTGGCATGAGAGAGGCATGATACGAGGTGTTAACTCCAACGTCCTGGACAAATTCCAGCCTGTTTAATTGCAGTCAGCCTTCTAACTTTTCCCTGCACACTGATAACAATATTCCTGCCCACTCCTTCTACTGCCCTAGCACGGTATTGCTGTTATGTATTCCTCCAGAGTTTCAGAGTTCTGTTCTGTTGCTGTGTCTGTGGTCATAAACTTTCTGCTTAAGAACCTCTATGTTGAATGATTAATAAAAATATTTTTTCCAAGTATATGTAAAAAAATAATTAAAAAAGAAGTAGGAGCCTGCTTGTTGCTCAGAGAAAGATTAGCTTCCCTGTGAATGGATGGGTTACCAGTAGAAGAGAACCCAGAAGATGTTTTTGTATCCCCATTAAAGACTGAGTAATCCTAAAGCCATTATCTTCATTTTACTAGATGTTTCAAGGGGTTTCTTTTGCTAGCATAATCTGAAGGTGTTAAGATGTTCCAATCCCCTTTTTACAGAGTACGTACATACTTCTTGTGCAGCTTAATTTCTTCCTTAAATATTGACAAGTGCCACGTTTGCTCTCAAGGCTATAACAACAGAAGATCATTAATGTCTTTGGCTAGGCAATGCAAAATCATCCTCTGAAACCCAGCAATGAGCTTTGAACGCTTCATCAGCAACTGCTCACACTCTATCGGCCTGAAGAGTTTAAATTAGAACACGCTCTATTCCTGAGCATTCCTACCCAGCTTTCAGAGAAATTCTCTGTAAAACCATCATAAAGTGAGACAGTTAACAAGTTTGGTTTTATTAGTAAAACAAAGCTATTTCTTATATTTTGACACAGAGAAAATTAACTGATTATGAGTGAAAAACATCTGCAGGCTTTTATAGAGTAAAAAAAAATCAGAACCAGCTGCTTGGTGCAGAAGGTTAATTAATACTCCAGTATTTCTTCTTAAAAGCAGTGGGTTCAACTGGCGAACCTTTTTTTTTTTTAAGGAAAAAAAACCCCACAGCAAAACTTTAACCATCAGTTTCTGTATAAGAGAAATAATGTAGAAATAACATGGAAAAAAATGTAGGCATAGGAATAATTAGCTATTTCATCAGAATTACGTGGGAAGAGCCTTGCAGATTAAGATCTTCAGTATTTCCACCGACAATTTCCACTGCAGTTATTCATTTTTAAGAGCCCTAGACTCACACTAAATTCAACAGAAAGAAAGAAGTGTGTGTGTGTGTGTATGCATGCATGAAAAATAAATATATAAACAAGCAAGCAATTTAGTGTGTGCAACAGCAAAAGTTAAAAGTTTGCATTTCACTGCCAGGACATAAAACGCATTGCTAGTTATTTTGCCAGTTTTCATAAAATATATTAGCTTCATCTGTACAAGTCACCAACGCAACGCATACACACACACACTCATACACAGAATTATTACCCAGTTTCATTGCACATACCTTTCATATAAGAAAAAACCCCAAACCCACAATGTGTTTTATGAATGAATCAAAGAATACTTACCACAGCTGGCGGATCATTCCATTCTTCATAGGAAATGGCAGCATACGGGTAAATTCTATCATTGATAATCTGAAGAGTAGCAAGAGCAATTGCTTTCATCGATCGAAAATATGCTTCCCAGAACCACCTTGCCTGTAAAGAGAATAAAGTTCACTTTCACGCTGCGCAGATCCTGTGCTTAATAATCAATTTTGGCTTGTCACGCACAATCTGTTTCATTCAGTCTACAAGTCAGGTGGAAATTAAATTAGGAAGCATGTTTATTGCAGCTAGGATATTTCCATAGGGCCTGAAGGCTTCAAGCTCAATGCCAAGCCCCCCAAAAATAGGATTTACAGCCAATAAAAAGAAGAAGCAGCATTACTTTGCAAGTTATTTAATAGAACGAGTCTACTTCAAGGAATCAGTTACTTTCACACTTTTATCATATGTTTTCCTCTTGAAAAATGTCAGAAACAGTTCGACCATAGAACAGAAGAAATTTCCAAGGCACAGGAACACAGTGCAACTGAATAGCGAAATAAAAGCATGCAGCCTAAAAGGTAGAACTTAAGTCACCTTTTTTCATCAGACAGATGATCAGATAGAGAATTTCAGTACGCATGAACCCTACCAAACTAATACCTTCCCCAGTCTTCCAAAAACCAAATATTATTTATACAACTAAATACTAAGATCTTTACATAAAAGAAGATGCATGTGCCAATTTGTTACAATCGTTAATCTAGGCTATTACACAGCAGGGGCAGTGTAAAACTGCTGAAAGGAAGCATGTGATTTTTCTTATATACAGAAGCACTAAGTTTCACACGAGTTGTTTTCAAGCTAAGGTCCTGTATGGCAAGTTTTCATCTTGCCCCAGTTTCTATGTAAGACAGCAGTGCTGGAAGAAAAGCAGTGTTTCGGAAATGAAAATGTTGGCTTATCTGTTTCTCTTTTAGAGACATAAGCATGCTTTCTAAATGCCTAGAACCATCAAATGATCCTGTAGGACCCCATCCAATCCAGAAGGAAACATGTTTTGCCAATAAATGTAGTTCAAGTGTTTGGCCCCAAAGATGTGATTCAACCTAATTTTTCTTCAGTAAACTCCATCACCTTGAAGTGGCCAAAAGTTAATTTAGCATGCAGGTTCCCTATGGCTCAGTATCACCTATAAGAGTAAGCATCTCCTCCTAGGTTGTAGAAGAACCAAAACAAAAGACATTTTTTTAATAATTTGAAGCTTAAGAAGCTTTCAGAGCCAGAATACAACTGAAGACAACACACAAATTTGGGCAAGTGCTATTTTAATTTTGCTATGGATTTCTTAAACAGCAAAAAGGCTCTACAGTCTGGTTTTAATCACGTGCTATGACAATATTAAATATGATTATTTAGAATGTTAATTTACTGAAGAAATACCAAGGTTTTGGAGGTACAGGCTTTAAGATGAACCAAAAATAACTCTCATTTAGCTGCTGTAACAAGTGGCCAGTGTGTCTCACTTTGCAGGTCATCACCTTTTAATAGAAGCCAAAGAGCGATTCCTACATGTACACTTTGTGCTGCAGCATTCCTAGGCTAAATAACAGTGTACAGGAAAGATTCTAAGTAGGAGAAGTGCAAATTCACAAGCAAGCTTGCATATATCTCTGCATATGTTACCCTGTACTGTACTTTGAGTGTAAGCCACAGGATTCAGAACTAACGACCTGTTGCTGAAACACTGACTTTAAAACTCTACCCTGTGGGTAGTTTGTGAAACAAGTTCTTCAGAAAGATCTGTTAAATATTTAAAATGAAAAAAATCCATGCTACAACTGAAAAAGCAAACTAGGAAAGGGACAAGTGCTTACTGGAGCACTACTTTTGTTGTGAGAAGGCATTAACAACCATAAGCCTTACTACTTCAGGGTATCTCAAAATTTCATTAACGAGAATAAGTATGTCCAAAAATTACACTTCTCTGAAGCTTGTCATCCAGAGAGAGTGCAAAACAATTTCACTCTAGAAAGGAATCACTTCCCTCTCCTTATTTTTCTCCCTGGTAGGAGTTAACAGCTGGATAACGGCCAATTACAAGAACAGAACAAAATGAGTCCAACTGTAAAAGCAGAAGAATTATACAAACAGGTAAGAATAAATAATGTCTGCCTTCCTAAAATACCCAAAAGACACTAAATAAAGCAAACATCACATGCTAAGCAAAGACTTAAGTATTCCTTTCCCTATGCCCCACTTCTTAAGAAAAATGTATTATCCAGAACAAAGCAGCAACTGATTTAAAAAGTAAACCTGAAATAGATTAAGAATTAAAATTGACCAGAACAGTGAACCTCTCAATTAAAGTATCCTAAATAAACAAGAGTAAGAACACAGATTTCATTTTCACATCAGATAACAGTTTAGAACGACTGCTATAAGCAGCACTAAGTAGGAAGGAGAAATTGTTTTATGTAGCCTTTTATATAACATTATAAAGCAATTAAGTAGCTATTGTGTGAAATACACAGGACTGTGTATTTCATTGTTATTAAATTTCCTATACTCTTCTAACTCTAAAACTGTTTATTAATACTGTAATATCTATGATTATCTAGCTTCATAACAAGCAAAGCCCGTTTTCCTCCTTCAGCAAAACCGGGATGATCTAGCTTCTCTTTGCTGACAGAAGGTTTGCAATGTCAGGGAAGATTACACCTTTATACCAGAAGCAAAACTGGAGAAGAGGGCAGAGGGAATTTACTTTTTATAGACTAATATTTATGTAATTAATTTTTTGTAAAGAGCTAGAAAATGGTCCCACAGTTGGTTGTAATTTTTTGGAGTTGTGTTTCTTTAAGACAGAACTCAAAACCTTCTAAGGGGATTCCAAAGTCTCCAAACAGATGTTTCAGGGTCTCATTACTTCCTCCCCACCTTGTTTGCTTTTATAAAGCAGAACTGATTAACATGGCTTGCTAGTGTCTGCTGCTCAGCATGCTGGGTTACTGAACATTTTGGGAAGGTTTTCTACTGGGAAGATGTGTGTCAATTCCATTTGAAATGTATTTTCTGGTTTACTTGATGTGGTTGAAAAGCTTATGTTGGAACGTAACAAATACCTAGGAGGGATAAAAAAGAACATGTTTGGATACAAGAGAAAGAAATAACAACAACAAAACCCCAAAAAGCAACAGAGATCTGTTCCTGACTCCTATGTCAACTTTCTTAGTAATCTTAGATAGTTTCTAGAACTGTCCATTTCTCTGTTCTGTATCTGTGAATTCAGAAGACTAATGGTTGTATACTCGAGAATAGCTTTAACACACTGAGTAACACTTGTAAGGTATTGCAATTGTAACATACTAATATTACAGCTACTGGAAAGCCCTTCAGGTTTTGAAATAAGTCATCCATAATTACAGATCCTGTCTTCCACATAGTATTGAACATACACGGCCTACAACTATGTTATGGCCAACCTACCATTCCTTTGAACTTGAACTGAAATTAACTTCTAGTACTCCAGTAGTCTGCTTGATGAGGTTTCAGAATTTTCTAAAGAAACACACTATGTGGACCACAGAATTGTAGAGCATACTAACTGTGTACACCTAAATATTGCTCTGGTCACGGGCAATCTAAATTGTAAATAGAGATCAAACGTGTGCTTTGTACAACTGCCAAAATGACACAGATGAACGTATGTTAAACTATGGGATCTTGTTCTGGGTGTATGGCTTACCAGAAATTGCGAACAGGTATTTAACAAACACAAATTCTCTTCCCCTTCTAATATTTCTAGATAAACAGAAAATCTAGGATAGACCCAAGATGAAAGACAGAAACGCATTACCTTCTGTAACAGTTTCACCAAGGCATGGAAGAGTCAAAGGTAGACTACTGAATGACTTGACTGAGAATGAGAATACATTATATTACTGGGTTGCCCAATGGGTTGGAAGTGACCGGGATCTCTTCTAATATTATAGATTCCCCATGAAATTAATTTGCCTGAATTCAATTTCTGCAGAAAATTTTACAAAGCAAATACAACCTCACCATGAAAGCCAAAGACTAAAGGCATCAGACACCAGACTCCCCCGTCTCCCAGAGGTGAGCTCTGCAGACCAAGGTCATAAACATGAGCATACCAGTAGAAAGCTCTAAGTTGTTTCTCTTCCTTCCTCCACACCCCAGTTTCAACTGCTGCATCCTCATTAGACTGGCCATGAAAATCCAACCACCTCTGTAAAAGCTAAGATTGCTTAATATAACATAGAGGTATTAATTTCTCTCTACAAATACATATGGCACCCTTTGTGGAACACTAGCAACATCTGTAAGACAGAAGAATTAGTTTAGAAACTTTCTGTAGTTTTCTTCCTTGAAACTGTAGACGGTATGGGAAATTTTGTGTTCCTTCAACCAAATAAGAAAGCATCCAACATAAAAGTTCAATTCCACTTGTTTTCAGTTCCAGGATGTTGTTCAGGTGGACTACAAAGAAACTCAGCTGATAATATTCAGCACAACTGGTACAGCCAAGAGCTTGAGATGGACACATTTGCAGCTATTTCCATAAGAGACAACAGGCAGTAGCACACAGCAGTAGGGTAGCCTACTCCCAGAAAGTAACATTTATTTAGGTAAGGTGTTATTTTCCTTAGAAATAAACACACTTGGGGGCCTAGCATCTCTTTATAAGCTCTTTACAAGTCAGCACAGCATCAGGTTACAAAGTCCATTCATATAATGTTTATAAGTTCTAGTGTTAATGCCACTAATGGTGCTCCGGTGTAGAGTGCAAAACAGATCAATATAAATCTTTTGATTAGTTTGTGAAAAGAAAACAGTGGGCATGAGGCAAGGAAAAGCATACTTTCTGTACTGTTTAAATTGAGGGGAAAACAGTCCATGAAAGGAACTTTCTAGCCTCCTGTCTTTCCACAGCCCATGGTTTGGAGGAAGTGGGTAAAGTCAGCAAAAGGGAAAAAACAAGATTTGCAAAGAGTAGTAAAAGTTAACTGCCCATAAACCACCACTTCTTTCAGCTTTTATGTCAGGCGCCATGATGCTGTAAGATTTTGCCCCACTGCAGCAGTTCAGTGTTTCTAAAATGGTTTATGAGGCCTTGAAATATAACCATTTTCACACTGGCTGGGTGA